GTGATATGAAAATTTTGGGTGATATAAATGTAAAAGTAAAATTTAATTATTAGATGTAAATACCTAGGAATTGAGTGGTAATGTATGAAAATGCCTCTAAAAAAAATACCCCAAGTAAAACATCTAGTTGGAATGATAATTTAGTAATCGTCCTCCTGCAGTAGAGGGTTTTCTCTTTCATTGTGCATATCTTTATGTATGAATATGTATATATGGAAGATTTACATACATATCACTCAATTCAATTCCTATCTATTTACATACATGTTACACCTAAAACCTAAATTTTTACAACCATACCCAGCTCACACATGCATGAAAGGTGTATTTCACTTCTTAAAAGTTAAAATGGTGATATTTTTGATGTGACAATAAAGATTTGTGGTGTAAATTTAAAAGCTAAGTCTAGGTGTTAGATATGTAAATGCATACGAATTAGGTGGTATATATGTAAATGTCCCATTACTATATATATTACACTTATTTAGCTGCTCCTTAATATGTATAATTTTTGTATTTGCACAGAGGCATTTGTTCAGGGACATGGGACTTAATCTGCTTTATTGAGCATCTATGCTTTTCTAACCTTGTGAGGCTGTTTATCGTATCGGTTCTCAGCTACATAAGTAAGCATTTCATCTCCTTGCATTTCAGCCTAAAGTTTTCAGAATGCAAATATAGCTGTTTTTTTTTCTTTGTAACATGAATATAAAGAGTTGTATTTTGGGCAATTTAAAGACTATTTGAGATCACTTTTGTTTATTAAAGTTTGATATTTACACTTTATAACACTTCGGTGTCACAAAACTATGCATTAAAAGGTGTATTTCACCTTTAAAAAGGCGTTGATAGTTGTATTTTCTTATGTAATATTAAAGATTTGAGTGGTATGCATATAAATAACAAATTTTAGGTGTTGGATATGTAAATATATAAGAATCGTGTGATATGTATGTAAATGCCCCTAGTTGGAATATTTGCATGCATACCACTCAATTCTTAGGTATTATAAATCTAACACATACACTTCAATTTTTATGCCACCTTATCTATGCATGAAATGGTGCATTTCAATTTTTAAATGCAAAAATGGTGATATTTTTTATATAATAGGAAAGATTTGTGTGTTATAGATGTGAAAAGTAAAGTTTGGTTCTTGGATATGTAAATACACGGGAATTGGGTGGTATATATGTAAATGCCCCTTTAGAATATTCCTCAACAAACCTTCATGAACTGAACTCCTATTTTCCCTCCATAGTTCTGCTCTTCTTCTACCTCTTGTTCAAAGTTGGCATCATCCAATGCATTGGGAGAAGCGTCTGCAAAGTTTCATGGGCTGCCTGTGAGGCATACTGGACGGCAATGGAGGAGGTCGTCTTCTTCCTCTGGCACAAGCTGAAGAACACAAAACGAGTCTATCGCCGCCGGGTTTGAGGACATGGAAGAGGAGCTCAGCTCAGCCGGCGGCGACGATGACGACTCAGAGGATTATGAAACCATTCGAGTCACGAACCGGCGGAAATCGGTTCGAGACAGACGGAGAGATCGACTGAGACGATCTCTGTATCCAAGGAGCTATGGTTCGTCGAAAAGGAGACATGGAAGTGGTCGTCACCATCGCGTGAGGTTGAAGACGAGCGAGGTTGAAGTTCATGTTAGGGGCTCAGGGAGGAGGAGGAATGGAGGGCAGATTCAACTGAGAGGCAGAGAGAAGTATGTTGCACCATTATTGTTCAGAAGTAGGTGGTGATGTTTAGAATGATCAGTTTTTTTTTTTTCTTTTTCAAAATTAAATTTTGGGATTATATGTAAAAACACCTTTTGTTAGTTAAAATTCAAATAATTTTAGAGTTCATGGGGGAGTTAGCAGTGAATTTGATTGAACTGAAGATTTTGATTTTCTAAGTTTGTTATCTTTTTGGGAAATTTACTTGCACACCACACATTTCTTATGTATTTACATATCTTACACCTTAAGTTTAATATTTATGTTTATAGCACTTTGTTGTCATATTCTTGACATTGTGTACTTCATTTTGGAAATGTTACTGTTAATTATTTGAATCTATATGAAAATTTAGATGTATGATATGTTAAGTAGTTAAGAATTGTGTGGTCCGATCACCTTCACGGTGTGATTTCATTGGACTTTGCACGTCGTTCTATGTGCGGAGTCCTGATATCATATTTTTTCCTAAGTAAAAGCCTAAAAAAATTTAATATGTTGCGAGATGTAATTATAAATGATGTTTATATGTTTATGCAAACTTGTACGAGAAAAATAAAATATATGCTCAAGACATGATCGTTTTTATGTAAAATTATATCGCAGTCCAATTTTTATGGTAACATATATAATAAGTTTTAATATTATTTTCTTGGATGGATAAGATCATCATTATATATAATGACTTTAATTAAAAGTTATTCAGAATTTAAATTTCAGCACATTTATAGTGAAATGATGTCTATATCAAACTGCTAGATTGCAATGTGCAAGCACAACATGTTTCACACAAAACACATCTCATGACACAATACACCATGCAATGCCAATGATTACAATTGATAAAGAGCCGCACTCATCTAAGGATCTCACATATGCACCTAGGGTTTTCGCATGTGGATATGTGACACAACTGCGTAAGACTGTAGTGAGGAAGTGCGGTGAATTTTTCCTCTCGATTTCTTTGAGGAACGATTCTCCACCCCTTGTAAAATGTATCGTTTTACAAGTGCATTGTTTCGATCCTTCCACAAAAAATTGGATACATATATAGCTGTGGGAAACTGAGATTCCAACCCACTAGGATTTAGATCTAAGGCTTGCAACGCGAAGTCCTTTCGCTTCACAAGGAATTGACCATGAATGTGATTCCTAATATAGGGTGGTTTCCTCTAGAAGATGAAGCTCTCATGACATATGAAGCTCTCCTAATAGTAGGAGAGAAGATGTAACTCTGGCGATGCTCCAACAAGGTCCCGAGGATTTCAGCTAGATTACATTGCATTTTTTAAACTCAGGCGAGGTTCCGACAATGCTCCCTCTCCCAAGCTAGGGCAAAGTTCTCTTAGACTTGAACTCCGAGAAGTTAGCCGAAGAGTAAGAAGTTGACCAGAGAGGAAGAGGATTGAAGAAGAAGAAGAAACTCCCTTTTTTCAACCTTCCCTAGTCCACTCCAAATCCTCCAAGAAAGTCTCCCGGCACCAAGGAACCGCCCTAGCTCTCATAAAATCTGGAGAGGAAGAAGCTCTCCCTTAAAAAATGTCCTCCCCAGATGGAAGAATGGAGCATGATGGTTGCCTTGGTTGCTCCTTCCCTTGCCATAAGCCTTGTACGCTCTCCAAGTACTCCATGTGTCCCAAAACTGGACACATGTCACCTCCAAACTTCGCCATACCAATTATTCTCTTAATTAGAGTTTATGGTTGTTTAAGGTTATTTTTCGATAGGGTTGGCGGGGCTGCCGAGTATAGAAATCGGAAAGGTCAGGTGACCCGACGTGGTCATAGCCGGGACCCAACGTAATTACGTCGGGTTCTCGGGTTGGACAGCATGATCACGCCACCCTCAGACGTGGTCGCGCTGCTCAGGTGATTTAGGCGCTTTTCGGGAGCTCTCGGTGTGTCTGGGCATGACGAATTTGGGCATTGTTATGCCCGGGGTTGGGCTTGGCCAAGTCCAATCCAGGTGTGGTCACACTAGACTCGTACAAGCGTAGGCCTATGAAAAAGTTTGTCAGACAGGAATTCATGCTACGTGTGAATCTCAAAATCCTATATATGATTAGAACTTTACCCTTGAACTTCCGTAGAGGCCGTAAATGTGTCTCATGGCTCAAGAAGACACTCCACACTCAACAATGACATTTAAAGCTTTCATATCTAAAAAAAAATATTGCTTCCGCTGGTTTAAGAAAAAAATAAAATATTGCTTGTGAAACATAATTAAAATGTTATTACTATAAAAAATAAAATTTAGACATTAGATATGTAAATACATAATAATTGTGTGGTTTATATATAAATCGGCAACAATGACACTTAAAGCTTTCACATCTAAAAAAATATATATATAAAATATTGCTTCCGCTAGTTTAAGAAAAAAAATAAAATATTGCCTGTGAAACATAATTAAAATGTTATTATAAAAATTAAAATTTAGACATTAGATATATAAATACATAATAATTGTGTGGTTTATATATAAATCTTCGTATTTCTTAAAGTGATGATAAATAAGTAATAATATATAAAATAAATCCAAAACCTATTCCACTCCCCACTCTCTCTCTATTATAATTTCTAATAAAATCAACTCAACCACGCACAAATTTTTGATGATTTGATGCTAATTATCCTTGAATCAAAATTTTAAGGAAAATTTACATGCATACCCTCAATTATTATGTTTTCACATTTCTAACACCTATAGCTTGATATTTACATTTATAACACTGGTATTTTCATTTTAATAAAATAAAAAAATTAATATTATTAATGTGTTGCTAAAGTTAGAGTGGCATGCATATAAAATATAAATATAGAAGTCTTGAGGTTAAATATGTAAATAATATTTTTACAACGTGTGTTTAATCTGAGTCTTAGCCAGAAGTGAGATAGCCTGACCAGTGAGAACCATAACCTGAATTTTCGCCCACCGATTCTCATTTTCTGACTACTCTTCTGCTCCCGTTTGGCTTCTCCTTCTTTCCCCAAGAAGCCATGTCCGCCGAGCCACCGAGCACCGCCGGCGGCAGCGCCACCCCCCGAAGGTACTTCTGCCACCAGTGCAACCGCACCGTTGTGATCGAATCATCCACCTCCGGCGAGCTTGCTTGCCCTATTTGTCATGGTGGTTTCATCGAAGAATTCGACGCACCAACCACTGCTCCTAACCCCGATCCACCCGCCTTCACACTCAATCCATCCGCCGCCCCCTTCAGCCCCCCGGGCTCCCAATCACCCATCTTTCTCTCCCGCTCCACAAGTTTTGACCTTCGAGATCCCAGCGATCTCTTCTCCCTCATTGGCCCTGAATCCGGCCGATTCCGCGGCTCTGATTCAGGCTACTATCCCTCGCGATTGTATGGATCTGATGCTGGCCAATTTACTTCGTCATCCGCCGGCCCTAACGCGTTTAATCCCTTCGATTTCTTGCAAAGGTACATTCAGACCATGTTGGGTGGTGCTAATGTTCAGGTTATTCTCGAGGGCGGCGACCGTCCGGCGGTTAGCTTCGGTGATTACTTCATTGGTCCGGGACTCGAACAACTCATCCAGCAGCTCGCTGAGAACGATCCTAATCGGTATGGCACACCGCCGGCTGCGAAGACGGCCATAGCCTCGCTTCCTGATGTTAAGATTGCTCAGGACCAACTCGCTTCAGATGAGGCGCAGTGTGCTGTCTGCAAGGAGTCTTTTGAGATTGAGGAGATGGTAAAGCAGCTGCCTTGCAAGCATTTGTTTCACAAGGACTGCATTTTACCATGGCTTGAGCTTCATAACTCCTGTCCGGTTTGCCGGTATGAACTCCCAACGGATGATCAGGATTATGAGCAGCGAAAGGGTGGGGGGAACCAAGCGCCACTTTCGGCTGCGGGGGTGGAGAGTGGGGGTTCTATTGGGTCCAGTGGGGCGCCTGTGGGATCTGAGGAGCAGAACACCATTGGGCAGCGATCAACCCCGGTGGAGCGGAGGTTTAGGATAAATATTCCCTGGCTGTTTAGGGGATCGGGGTCTCAAGCTGATGCCAACAGTGCGGAGGATGCGCAAGGGAGTGCCGGTGGGAATGATGAATCTTTCGGTGGCCAAGGAGCTTCTGGGACAGATAACAGTCGAAGAGACTTGGATTAAGGAATTTGTGAGGTGAGGTTGCTGGGAATTGGTTTTTGCTTTTATTTTTCAGATGTTTCTTTTCTGTTGACATATAGATTTGTTACATTTTAATTAGCTTGATTTTCTTTGAGAGCATGAAGTTTCATTTGGGTTCAGATTTTGAAGCTAGAAGTATAATCTTGCCAATAAAAATGCATTTTTTTTTTACTTTGTTGCTTTTAAACCAATTATGTTATTTAGAAGTTGGAATGTGGAGGAATAAATTGGGTTAGGACCAACTTTTGGTTGGGTTTCGCTCTGCCTGACCAGTGAATTTTTTTTGCTATTTGTGGTTATGTTATTGCTGTTATTTTCTAATGTGTAATTTGATAGCAACATTTTGAATCTTAGACAATAATAAAGATTGGTTTTTTCAGTTTATGATTGCTTCTTGCTTTCTTAGAAGGTTCTGACTGTGGAGAATGGAGATTTCATTAGATGCTTGTGCAGTTAATGAAGTTTATATTACTACTAATGTCACTTTAAGAAGCAATGGTTTTCAGAGAAAAAAAATTGTCATAAAGGAGTAAGTTCTGTCAAAAAGTGCTTCTTCAATAGATTTTCTTGTGCCAGTAATGCTTACCGATGATTTAAAATCCACCATAAAAGCATATCTGATGCATTTCCGATGAAATTCGTCAGAATTACAGAGGGAAAATAGGCAGATGGTTGCCACAATGCCTTTTGGAAAAAAAAAATCGATGTAAATGATCCATTAGAAAAAAAAAAAAATTTTAGAGATCATTTATGTTGATTTTGTTCTTTGCAATTAACATATCTTTTATGTTAGCTTTGCTCCTAGTGGTTTTTTACTTCAATTGTTTGCATCAAATTCTAGCGAATTTTCTATCAAAGTTCTATAGGACTATTTTTATTTATTTTGGGAAACACTTCACCTAAAGCTTAAAATATCCATACAAAAACAACAACAACAACAAGCCTTTATCCCACTAAGTGGGGTCGGCTACATTAATCCTTTTTCTCCATTGCATCCTATTAAGTGTCATATTTTCATTTAATTCTAATAGATTAAGGTCATTTTTTATACAATATGCCCCAAGTCTTTTTAGGTCTACTTCTGCTTTTTTTAACGTCAGTCGAAGCTAAAATATCTTTTATTCTAACCGAATCATCATATTATTGATTTTTAATGTGAACAAAACATCTAAAACTTAAATGATTGATATCACAACAGAAATATTTATATTCACATCACAACACGTACTAAAGAAACATTCCATTTAAATAAGTAAATGATAATATAATCTAAGAAATTTCATGCTAAACATTAAACACAACTCATGATATCTTAAACATTGGGAAGCATACATCAAATATTGATTATATATAGCATTAAACCTAAACACATAAAAATAAAATGTATGTCTTGCATTTATTTCTCCCCCACTCTTACTTTCACCATCTTCCTCTTCTTTTTCATCTCTTGCTCCTTGTTGTAGAGCTTTGTTGTTATTGTTGTATAGCTTCCATTTTTTTTGTATGCACCTCATCCATGTGTGCATGCAAATTCTTAGCCATTGCATTTTCTTGTTGCCTCACCATTTGCTATATATCATCTTTTGCATTAAAAAAATAAGAAGTATGAGGGAATTAGGCATTAGAAGCTATAACTTGATAACCTCAACCACAAATTCTTTTTTTCATTTCATTTCAAAATTTGATTATTGAGACGATCCACTCAACGACCTTTTCTGGAGATGTCTAACTTTGAACATCCATCAGGCGTATGTAGTCATCCTATAGAGGATTAATGTTACTAAAAATTATATAAATTTAAACAATTAACATTCTAATTATGATATTTATATACTTACATAATTCACACACATGTGCACGCTAGATAAATTTAAACAATTAACATTCTAATTATGATATTTATGTATTTGCATAATTCACACACACACACACACAAAGCCTTTATCCCACTAAGTGGGATCGGCTAGATGAATTCTTTTTCTCCATTGTTCCCTATCGAGTGTCTACTCTCATTTAATTCTAATAAATTAAAGTTATTTTTTATACAATATGCCCAATCCTCTTTTGATCTACTTCTACCTTTCTTAACATAAGTTGAATATAGAACATCTACTCTTCTAACCAGATCATCAAATGGTCGACGTTTAATGTGACCAAACTATCTAAGATGACTTTCTCTAATTTTGCTTGCCACTGGAGCTACACCAACTCTTTCACGGATACATTCGCTTCGCATTTTGTCTCTGTGTCAAGTCACTCATCCACCTTAGCATTATCATCGCTTCGCATTTTGTCTCTATGTGTCAAGTCACTCATCCACCTTAGCATTATCATCTCAACAACACTTAACTTATGTCATGAATTTTTATCGAAATATTTTTCCATGACATATAAAGAGTATCAAATACGCTCCTTTTGTATTATGATGTCCTTAATTTTGTTTTGCTTATTAAATTTACATAATATAATATTGTGATAGAAACAGGTCTATGATAGAATTTTAAAAATAAAAAGTATAAAAAATACTTTATTTTTCTTTCTTTTTTTTAAATTATTTAATTTTCCTTTTAGGCTCAATTTATATGTGGGACTTTTGTGCATCGAATCCACCATCTAATTTCTTTCTAGTAAGATGTATGCACTAATAGCATTTCATTTGCTAAGAAAACACCGACTGTCTACCTGAGCATTGCTTTCATCTAAAAATTTTATATTCGTGAAATATTATTGATTAGAAAATCTTTATGTAATATTTTTTCTCATTTATTAGCATCTATTTTTTTCATTGAATTGTCTAGTTTCAACATACCGAGCATGAAAATAAATAATAAGTTGATTTGCACACCTTAAATGGGTGCCCATCATGAATATGGTGTGGCTATTGGATATATGGCTTGAAACCATTTTTCTATAAGCCATGTCTTATAGTTTTTGGTCCTATTGTAAACTTTGAAAGTCTGTGATCGTAGTGCTTTCAGAATTTAGGATTTTATGGATGATAGTATTTCGGGTCACCTATTTTCTCATGATGTCATTTTATATGTTCAACAAAACTCAATGATGCAAAAATCTCAGAAGCTGTGGAATAAGCGGTATAGAAATAATTTCTTTTGGGGAAACATAATTTGCCAATAATTGATTGTTTATTGTTCAGGAAGTAGATTTAGTTCATTATTGTGAAATATTTTACATTGTTTTTTAGATTGCTTCATTCATTAAGGAAATGTTTTAGATTTCTCTTGAAGGGCATACACTTTATGAATATAATGTCACCAAACATTGGTATATTGTTCATATGGTTACCCACGATGACTTCATTTTACTAGGATTTTGTAACAATTGAATAAATGCGATATTTAAGAAAAAATTGGCCATATGCAAACAATTAGTGGACTATTGTTGGGTGGCTTTTTTTTGGCTTATGATATACCATTGCAAATCATATGTTTGTGGTACTTGATTTGAAATTTTGAGGCTTTTGGCTACCAATAATTGATTGTGTATTGTTCATAAAGTAGATTTAGTTCTTTATTGTAATTCATTTTGCATTATCTTTAAGCTTATTTTTGGTCACTAAGGAAATGTTTTATAATTTTCATGAAGGGCATAACATTTTTTTAGATATAGTGTCTCTAAACATTAGTATATTATAGACGTGTGACTTAAGATGACTTAATTTTATAAGGATTTTTTTTTAGGAATTGAAGAGAATTATTATATTTCATTTTGATATATATAAAATTTATACAAGTCTACAAAGTCATTTTATATGAAAAATATGAAATCAATGAATAAAATTAATTACAAAATACTTGCAATAGATTACGAATTGCTGAGTAGGTACTAGGGAAAGTCTTGGTGAGTGTGGGTCTCGATGGAAATTATGTTATTGTTTTACACTACCCCTCTAGTATGATTTTCTTAACCATAGTGTTTCACAGATTTCTAGTTCCATTGATTTAACTTCAACTTTTGTGTTAAATTTTGCCGCCATATTTTATTTTTTGTCCATCGAAGTTATGATATTTTCTCCTAGTATTGTGCACTATCTTAAATTGCCCTAGTGTCAACCATAGAACTCACATAATTTCCATCTGTATATGTTTTAAGAGTCACTTCCTTTATATTTTTTATTATTGTCTTTTTTTTTTTAATGTTCTCTTCAAATATTGTAGAATTCTGTATGTTACTTTTAGGAGTAATGTTTTAGGAATGTGCATAAATTGAGCCACCAATACAATAATATAGGTAATGTCATTGTATTGTGAGATAAGTAGAACTGCCTTCGTACTTCTGTGCCTTGTGGAATATCTTCAAATTTATGATTAAATTTCAGAAGAATCTTGACAGATTTACATCTTAACTTGCCTTATCTTTTTCAAAAGCTTAGTTATTTATTTTTGTTGTGGTATCATGTCAAGTGTGAATGCCAAGGAAGTACTTTTGCTTGCCTAATTATTTGACTTTAAATTCTTAGGGTAATATTTTCTTAGAATTCTCCATTTATTCCAGGCCATTGTTTGTAATGATAATATTGTCAACATAAGCTAATAGTGTGAAACTTCTCTTGAAGCTCTGTGTTTCACAAATAAATGGGTGGTGTTTCTTGATTTTTTTTTTAATCCATATTGAGCATTACCGTAGCAAACTTTCTGGAACACACATTTGGTTATTGCTTAAGCCCATATGATGCTTTTTTAGCTTATATATCTTTTATTTTGTATTGTGTCAAATTTTGATGAGATTTCTGTATGTACTTCATTTTTCAATTTACGGTATAAGAAGATATGCTTTATGCCATATTATTATATTTAGTCCTTGTTAGCTATTAATGATAAAAGAATTTCAATTGTGTTCATTTTAGCGATTTGATCAAATATTTCAAAGGAATCAACCCCATATGTTGGAATGTAACTTTTGGCTGCTAGTTTGGCTTTATACCTTTTAGGAATTATTAGATTTGTGTTTTACAATAAATACCCATTTACATCTAGGAAGTTTTTTTTATTTATAATTTTATTAAATCTCATGTCTTTTTAAAGGACTCTTAATTCTTCCCTTTTAACATTAATTTATTTTGGATTATTTAAAACCTTAAATGTATTTTAGAGATAGAAATATTTTGCAAGAAAGATTGGTGACTATTAGAGAGATTTTTACAGATAAAAGCAAGTGTAAGGGATGTTTCATGGAAGCACTTGTAATTTGGTTTTAGGCTGATTGTTTTATCAATGGATTCAGTAATAACAGTTATTTTAGCTAATTAGACTTGTGTAGATTGTGATGCCTTTCTTATGAACAAACTTATAATGATTAAGCAGATGGAGCTTCCTATATATATTTGATTTGTGTAGGATTAACTGGTTCTAAAATAAATTTATTTGCTAGGATAAGAGATAAGACACTGCAATTTCGTACCAACTTTTCTTCATGAAAAATATTCTTCCTTTTAATAATTAGTAGTATGGTAATGATGTTTTCATTGAAAATGACATCAATGGACAAAAATAATTTTTTTTTGTGGAGGATGGCAGTATCTATGCCATTTTTTGTGGGAAAATTATGAATCAAGCATATTTAATTGGTCTAGGATCAAGTTTTTGTTTGTTTTTGGAATGTGTATGAGCAAAGACATTATTTCCAAATATTGTGAAAATAAGGTTATTTAGTATTATATTGATATAATATGTTTAGGCTATGCTTAGAACTCTTGAAATCCATACTCTTTGCAAGTAATTAGTTTGGGGTAGTTGTTAGAATTGTTTCCCCCATTTTTGTTTTTGAAACCCTTTTTTTAAAAGAGAGCCCTTATAGTAGCAAGTGATTATTCTTTCGTTCATCCTCTCTATTTTGTTGAGGTGTGTGTGTATGATCAGGACTCAAATATTTTTCATTTTCTTATAAGTGAGAAGAGAGAATGTTAGTGTTTTCTATGACATTTTTGAATTTTACTCTTATAATTTCAAAACCAAATTAATTTTTGATTTTGTGGAGGAAAGTGGGGAAGATGATACTTATCAGTTTTTAGTAAAAATATCAATGATAGATGGGTGCAATCATCAATAAAAACAATCCACCATCCCCCAAAGATGTTCCATGTAGAGGATAGTCGTTGGATGCATTAATTATGAATGAAAGTAAAAAGGCAAAGGGTTCTTTTATATCTTATTAAAAAATTAATGCATTTGTGTATTGCATTAATTATGAATGAAAGTAAAAAGGCAAAGGGTTCTTTTATATCTTATTAAAAAATTAATGCATTTGTGTATTGCATTAATTATGAATGAAAGTAAAAAGGCAAAGGGTTCGTTTGTATCTATTAAAAAATTAATGCATTTGTAGTTTGCTTGTTCACAAAAATTTCAATGACGTTCTCTAATTTTAATTTCGTTGATGAATGAATGGATTAATGCATATTGTGAAATAAATTTGTTAGAGTTGGTCATATAATTTTTAGCTCTTGAATTAATGATTCAAGAGCTAGAAATGTGGGCATCTTTTGAGTGTTTAGTCATGTGAGAACATGAGTTAATATTTGATAATGCTAGAGCACAAGCACCCATTATAAAATTTTTTTCAGGTAACCTGAATAACCTTTTTTATCTTTTGGCACCATTTTCTTCCTTCTGTTAAAAACTTGTGAATCAATCACAACACTTTAGATGATTCTTTTCATTTAGTTGATATGTTGAACAATGCTCCCATTAGATTTTGATTTCAATCCTTAATTGCAATAGAGTCTTGAGACTAATGGGTTGTAAATATTGTTGTTGTACATGTGCAGTAAAACAACAATTCTGTTGATTGTAAAAAAATAAAGATAAGAAAGAAATGCGACTATAAAGATTTAGGCCGTTCTAATGTAAATAATTTGCTGTAATACATTGATAAATGCTGTACAAATGAGAATACTTTGCAGTAATGTGACGATAAAGGTTGCAACATGGATAAGTATTTACAGCAATGCTATGATGAAAATTAAAGTTATCGAAAGAGGAGAAGAGTGCAACAATGAATGCAGCACTATTGTGTTAAGCATTGATGATAACTTCGATAATGAACTTACAAGGAATAGAAAAAGCCTAGCGCTCTTCCATGATGACAAAAATTGGCTGCGTATATTTTATTCTAACATGTACAATATTTATGCAATCCAAGGAAAGTATTTGATAGGGAAAGCATGAAATAATGTATATACTTAGCTACATAACAATTACAATAGTCTACGGGTTGATGAGTGGGCAGTATGGATCCAACTCATCAATGAGGTAGTAGTAGAGTAGGAAGAATATGGAATGGGAGCCTTAGCGAGTGTGGATCTTGCATGGCAAAAATTGTGCTATCATTTCACAATTTTATTGCCTAAAAATTTCATTACCTTTTAATTGTTAGATTGAATGATTAGAAAGAATGTTTTAGATTACACAGACATGTATCAGGACAAGTAGATGTGCATATTAGAATATGCATCAATGGATGTTCAGTGTTAGTGTAACGATCCAACAGCTTTATCGGGAAACCTTTCTAAATTATGAAAAATTTGTCCACTTGTGCAATATTTAACATGTTGCAGGCTGAATAATGTATGTACTAATATTCAAGGTTTATTTATTTTCCCATCATTATTATAGGGCGCTTTATGAACTTAGGCTTATTTTTTAGGTTTTTTTTTTGGCATGTTTTTGCTAGTTATGAATCAATTTGTGGTATTTTTTGAAAGTTATGAATCAATACAAAGGTGTATTTTGCTTTTTAAAAGTTAAATTTGTGATATTTTTATGTGATATGAAAGATTTGGGTGATATAAAAGTAAAAAAGTCAGGTGGTGTTTGACTGCAACCCGCATTTACATTTAACAGGGATCCGATAAAAAATTAGATTTATATTGACGGAGATGGTGATGGAGATGGCGCTTGCAGCTGGACGGAATAAATCCTTAAATCCGCCTCTCAATTGGATTTAGTAAATCCTGATTTAGGTGGTGTTTGACTGCAACCCGCATTTACATTTAACATGATTTAGTAAATCCGATAAAAAAATAGATTTATATTGACGGAGATGGTGATGGAGATGGCGCTTGCAGCAGGACGGAATAAATCCTTAAATCCGCCTCTCAATTGGATTTAGTAAATCCTGATTTAGGTGGTGTTTGACTGCAACCCGCATTTACATTTAACAGGATTTAGTAAATCCGATAAAAAATTAGATTTATATTGACGGAGATGGTGATGGAGATGGCGCTTGTAGCAGGACGGAATAAATCCTTAAATCCGCCTCTCAATTGGATTTAGTAAATCCTGATTTAGGTTGTCAAAGAGACGGAAAGCGAGAAAAAGAGACTAAATGCAAGAAAATTCAGTTTAATGGAGCGTTACATTTAGTTTTCATTTTATTGGTGTTTAGCTGGATTTATGTTAAATCTATGACTAAATCCTATTAAAAGTATGCTACCAAACACCGCCTAAAGCTTAGGTGTGGATGTGTAAATGCGTAGGAATTGAGTTGTATGTATGCAACTATTGTTCTCGGTTCAATGCACCTTTCTTCTATTGTTCTCGGTTCATCTGATTGCAAGGAATATGAAGTTCACGCTCTTATTTGCTGAACACTTTAGCTGAAAGTTTTCCTGTTGGAGTTTGAATTATAATTTTAGCAGCAACTCAATTATTGAGTGCAGAAGGAACCCAATTTTGGACAAAAACTAGCTTAGGACATCTAAACTTAGCATTAAACTAGTTACTCTTGGGAGTTAAATATTTTTCTGGCATTTACATACATACCATTGAATTCTAATGTGTTTACATATATAACACGAAAACTTTGCTTTTAACACTTATACCACCCAAATGAATGATATTGGAACATGTAAATCACCATTTCTTTGTGATGATTCTCAAGGAGTGAAAATGACATGGGAGGTACCCGGGAGCCTTCATTTCTACAACCACAATTTGCTACAGTCCCGCGAACATGCAGGCTGCTTTTTTTGTTTGTTGACCAAACCCATCCAGGTTTTTTCGCTATTGTGAAGTCGGCCAGCCCTCCCGGGCCACTCCTCACTATCCTCTTATTATATATTTATTGTTCTAGGTTTGGTTTTTAATGTGTTTTGTATCGGAACAATCGCCGATGTCTTTTCTTCCCTTCAATTGCCATATCCTAGAGTTCCATGTGGTGCTTCGGTTGTATCTTGGTCTCTAGGTGGTGATTACCTTTCCTATTCCTTCACGCATCCCTCTCGTTTCACTACCTCGCCTCCCTTCTTTTTGCAACCCCCCGCCAGTAGTTCTTTTGTTGTTCTTCCTGCAGTTCCTCACTGTCCAGCCATCCACGTCCCCACTGCACCCTCAGGACTGTCCTCTTTTTGTTGTCTCGCTGTCCCATGCCTCCCCCACCTCTGCCGCCGTCATTCTCGCTTGCTTCTGCCTCCTGGAAACGACCAATCCTAGCCATCTCCTGCTATTCCAGCCGTTCGGTCAGCTGTTTCACTCATTCAGTGAACTGTCATTAACACAACTCCTCATCTTCACTTCCGACGTCCTTTTCCCTTACTGTCATCAACCCAGACAACCCTCGCACATCGTCCCCCGGTTGTCTGCTAGTTGTATGGCCTTGTGGAAACTGCTGCTTTGTTGTTTTCTGCTTGCTAACTATCTCTCCCACCCCAAGCCACCTTCCAAGGCCTCACTGACCATTACCACAACCTTGCGATCCACTCTCGTTGAGTGTTTGTGTCGTATCAGGTTCTACTTTTGTTTTTTGATGCCTTGATTTTTCTTATTTCCTATTCCAGTTGGTTGTTTGTAAGTTCATATTTGAGTTTCAATAATAATATTTGCTTTTTCTATTGTGATTTGAGTCAACTCCAGTGTCAAATCTTTGTAAGAAGTTTTAATAACTATCATGTTTAGCCTTTGTTCTATTTGGGTTCGGCTTAATTAAATCTCTCTGCATTTTTGTGCATATTATTGGTGTTAATTCTACTTGTGCAAGACTCTTTTGTACTATTACACACATTATCTTTGGCCTAACCTTTTTTCTCTTCTTTTGTTCATGTCCAGGCCTATATTTTCTTTAATGGGTAATATTTATTTTTTCCTTCTAATATTATAATTTTAGACTCCTTAGTTAACAATATATATGTTGCAGACAGCTTAGCTCTATGGGTACTTTGTTGCCTAACACTGTAATCCATATGGTATTAAAATTTTATTTTTCCTCTTGTATCCTAGTAGTATACAGTACTCCCCAAACAATTATCCATTTAAAAAATGCAAATTTAATTTTAGAAGTTATCTTGCTTAATTTTTTCGTTCTTCTTTTGAACAATAGATCTAAGGTACTTAAATCTAGGACATCCTAGTATCGCTTTATTTCCAAATAATATTGTCTAAAAAAATAGATTCATATTAACCAAAATTATTTATTTTGATGCATGATGCTCGTTCCTCATATTTCTCTCTCTGTTTTCTAAAATATCAATTGTTATGATTTTCTTAGCTGAGAATTAATTTCAACCATTAAAACTATATTATTTAAATAACAAATACCAATGTGTTTGACTATGAATATCTTTTATAGTATTTTCATATCCAATAAAAATGATAGTGACTTGGCATTGTTATTAATGCTACGTTATAAGTTTTGGTATTTTTTTACCACTTCACAATTACTTCCAATGCTAATCACAATTACATCTTATGTATCTTTTATAAGTTTTTGAGCTCCTAAATATTCCTTTTTGAATATATATTGGTAGCATTTAAAGACTTTTCTTTGTACTATTTCCATTAATTACTTTGGAATAAAATTCACTTAACTATACCTTCTTATCTTAAAACTTAAATTAATTTTTTTATGTTCATGTGGTTTTACTAAACCAGTGTTTCCTTTTCATATTTATAACTTTATTGTATTACTCACGAGTTTGATTCCCTTATGATTATTACAATTCTACAATCTTGAATATCTCTTTTGTTTTTAAAAATTTGTAATAAAATGATCCTTCTCCAATAATCGGAGTTTTGTTGTCTTAAGGATTTTATTAAACGAAATTTTCTTCATAATTCTCTTATATTTTTCGTAGCTCACCAATTCTTATTAGGTATCTCATATAGGCCAAAATTTTTATTATTCATCTTCTTCATTGCTAGTTCAGTTTCTCCTTTTTGTTTTACACTTTTACTTAATTTAATATCTCACAACTAAGGTTACTTTATTATTCTAAGATGAATATCTTAAAGCTTACTAAATTAATTTTTTGTAAACAGCAATTTCAATTTTCTTTTATGTAAAAAAAAATATAGTGTGCAAAGCAAAAGTTATGATTTTTAATAATTTATATTATATGTTAGTAATTGGAAGAAAGAAAAGGGTATATAAAATCGCTAAAGCTACAAAAAAAAGTTTTATTAACTTTGTTCTAATTTTCTTATGTTTTATTTTTCTAAGAAACAAAATTCTATAATCGATATTCTATCAATGTTAAGGTGAGTACAATTCCTATTATTAGTATTCTTTTGGCATAATACCTGATTTACATTTAAACCCACATTTGGAGGAAAAGAAATTCTTTGTATCACAGCTATTAGTTCTCAAACTTAAGATATTTTTAGAGCCTTAGAACCCAACCTCACTAAACAACCCGAAAAAGAACTATCCAGTGCTAGCAGTTATTGAGAAAACTAAGAAAAAACCAAAGGATATTGAGAGGATAGGAAAAATTTTGGATCAAATCTAAGTATTAGAGAAAATAAATTTTCAAACCACTAAAAATCACCTTATTATTTGACGTGAGATGTGTCTCCAGAATGTGGGACCAAATTATGTTGATTGTGGAACGAGTTGGACGGGACTCCTGCCCTGTGAAACATCTAGTAAGGGATTTTTCGCCCTATTATCAAATCAGCTAAATATTTTTTTTATCGTTTCTTCATTATCTACTTTCCTTTTTTTCTAATTAGGGTTTAGCTTAATTATTAGTATAAATATTGTATGCAAAACCCGAGGGGAAAGACTTTTGATTTGAATTGATGATTTTGGAGATATCTCTTCTGGTTATATCCTAATGGAGTGTTGTATTCTTTTCCTTTCGCAAGTGATGTGTCTTTAGCTTA